CTGTAAATTGGAAAAGCTTGGACTTACATGGTAAGGTTGAAAGTCTTCATACCCTTTGATCCTGCAGTTCTCTTCCTAGATATATGCCCTTGAGAAGCTCCTGCATGTGTGTACAAAGAGATTCCCACATAAAAACAAAAGTTCATCAACAGTAGAATGGATATAAAAATTGTGGTATATTTATATATGGAATTGCATATAGCAATGAAAATGAAAAAAAAATCAACATGGACAAAAGTGAAAGGAACCAGATGCAAACACATGCATATTGTGCTGTATTTCATTTATCTGAAGTAGAAAAACATGCCAAACTAACCTATACTGTTTAGGGATACATACATAGGTGGTAAAACAATCGAGAAAAATGAGAAAATGATTAAAAATAAAATCACGGTAATCATTACCTCTAGGAAATTGGGAGGTAGATGGAGGTGAGGATGTCCAAGTTTCAGAAAATGTTTTGTTGCTTAACCAAGGTAGTGATTATATGATGTTTCTAATTATTCTTCAAAGTGTATATAAGTGTCTTATACCTTATATGTCAATGCTATAAATTCCCAATAAAATGAAAGCAATATTAAAAAAGAAAATTATTAAAAGCATAATTTATTATTATATAAGTGCATCAGAAATAATATGTCAGTTTCTGATTTGGTGTCCCTCATTTACATGAGTTTCTGAGGTCTAGGAAGTCCAGTTCCTGCTTGGGCATCATGTTTACCCTGACATATGATAGGATCCCCTTTACTTCTTCCTCTCTAATCTTTGGGCTCTGCTTCACTTTGGCTCTTGCCAGTCCAGTTTACCCGGCAGGTTTGAAAAAGAAAGAAAAGAGTATGCATCTATTAGGTTTGTATTAGGACTATTAGAAGTAAGTGTTGCACCATAAAATTTAATTTCAATTATACATATGTGTGCATATAGTGGGTAATGACAACAATGTATTTCTTAGTGGGTAATGGTCCAAAAAAATTAAAAACCACACCTTTGTTGAAGGAACAAATCAATTCACAGGTAGAATTTCCTATGCTGTATTTTGCTGACTTTATCCTCTTGGTGTAGTTTAAATGTTCCTCTATCCTATGTTCTTTGTGTTTGGTATAAATTGTTAGTTGAATCTAGAAGTTTAATCAGATTAATATTTAGTTTCTTCTTCTTCCCCCCCTCCCGGAAAACCACTTCATTGTGGTGGTGTGTTCTCCTACATACATTGTCTAGTTAAGCCTACCTCTCTATTACCAGCAAATACCAGAAGAGGGAAAATTTTGCTTTATGTAAGTTTTCCAGCTAATTAAGGAAGAATGAGTGATTGAATTAGAGTATCTCTACCATAAAATCCATAATTAATTAATTGATCTAGGCAATGAGAATTAGCAGCAGCAAAAATTTCAAAAAGAGGCTCTTTTATAGTTTTGGAGGTTAGAAATAATAATTGAGTCTCGTTGGGCTAAAGTCAAAGTGTTGACAGGGATATATTCCTTTCTGCAGGCTCTAAGGGAGAATCTGTTTCTTTGCCTTCTCCAGCTTCTAGAAGCTGCCCATAGTCCTTGGCTCATGACCCTCTTCTTTTGTCTTCAAAACCAGCAGTGGCAGATGTAGTCCTTCTCATATTTCATCACTCCATAGCCGTCTTCTGCCTCCCTCTTCCACTGGTAGGAATTCCTGTGATTACATTGAGACCACAGTGACAATTCAGGATAATTTCTCTATTTTTAAGTTGAAGTGATTAGCAACATTAATACCCTTTTGCCATGTAACATAACATATTCATAGATTGTGGGGATCAGGAAATTAATATCTTTGCAAGTCATTTTCTGCCTACCACAGGTTATTTTATATACTTGTAGTCAATTGGTAATTGAGGCTGTTGCCACCTAAAGGCTTAATTTGGCAGGATAACAGAGAGAACCCACTTACATGGCTGGTAGTTGATGCTGATTGTTGGTTGGGATCAGTTATTTTATATACTTGTAGTCAATTGGTAATTGAGGCTGTTGTCACCTAAAGGCTTAATTTGACAGGATAACAGAGAGAACCCACTTACATGGCTGGTAGTTGATGCTGATTGTTGGTTGGGATCTCATCTAAGGTTGTCAACTGGACCAACTACCTGAGACCTCTCCATATGGCTTCAGCTTCTCCTAGAATGATAGCTGGGTTCCAAGATGAAACTTTTCAAGAGAAAACATTTTAAGAGGCAGAAAGTGCAACCTGCTAGGATAGTTAGGATGTACTGCTGGAACTGGCACAGTGTCTCTTCCCCCATACTCTATTCATCAAAGCAATCCTAGTGCTCTCCCAGATTCAAAAGGGTTGAGAAGTAAGCTCCACTTATTGATGGCATGTGGCAATGGCAAGGTCACATTGCAGAAGAGTATGTGAAATGTGAGATATTTTTGCAGTTATCTTTGAAAATCTGTCACACTTGTTATATGACATGACAAAATGTTCCAGGCTCATTTTGAACATTTTCTGTTATGACTTGGAATCAGCCTTTTCTCTAAGAAGCCCTGGTTCTTTTTAATGGAAAATGGTATTTCAAGACCAAAATTTGGATGGTAAGGATACACATTGCTACTGGGTTGGTTTTCTATTCTAGGCCTTTTCAATTGAGTTGCTAGAAAGCACACGCACACACACACACACACACACACACGCAAACACACACACATGCATGCATGCATACGTATACAGTCAGCCCTAAATATCTGTGGGTTCCACATCCATGGATTCAACCAACTGTGGATCAAAAATATTTGAAAAAAAAAAATGGTTGTGTCTCTACTGAACACATACAGACTTTTTTCCCTTGTCATTACTCCCTAAACAATACAGTATAGGCTTTTAAGATGGCGACAGGTCTGGAGCGGCCATGCCAGGAGACAGCGCGACCCTGAGAAGTGTGC